TATATATATGTAAATATATTTTTAAGCTATTTATACAAACAAGATAATAAACTATATATAAAACGTTTAAAATTAAATGTAAACTTATTTACATACAAAATAAAAAAAGTTTGATATGCATGAAGTTTAGGATACATATGTATATATAATAAATTACAACTTAAGTATATTAAAAATAATCAATAAAAACTTACCTAATTTAATGACACTTCGTAATCTATTAATATTTGCATGCAGTTTTGACTTGTTCGAAAAAATTTAATAAAAAGTCCTAATTGACAATGAATGTTTTATGTCTATATCGAGAAATTAAAATTGGTTTTGATGTTTCCAATAAAGTAATAAAACTAGTATAAAACTACAAACTACATATAGTAATAAAACTTGTTTAGTACTCTCATTAATAGTTAGTATTCTCATTCACAATTTTGATGTAAAAAAGAGTATCGTAGAACTGAATCTTTGACTGAAAATAAACAATAATTCAACTATTTATTATGTACGTTTCGCCATTGTATGTGTGCCATCATTCAGCACGTTAACAAATTCTAAAAAATATTTTCCAAAGTTTGAGAAAAAACTTACAAGATTACTAGAAGATAACAAATATGAAAATTAACTGTTATTTTTAAAGGTGTAATCTACCGAAATATTAGGTTGTCAAATATCTCCCTTCCGCCTTTTTGTATTATAAACCAATAGCAAAAAAGCGGAAGGGAGATATTTGACAAAAAAACAAAATTGATTTTTTCAAAATTTCACACTAGTTGTGCCCCTTAAGTCATTTATAGGACATTCAGTTAATTTTGAAAATGGTCTAAGTCAATTCAAACTTTAAAAACATTATTATCGTATGAAAATCACACAAAATTTCATATTCATAATAAATTTCCATTAATTAACACTAATAAAATTAAAAAATAAAATGTCGCATAATGTAAAAATATTTTTTAATTTATCAAACGCAATTCAATAAATATCTTGAAACAAAAAATATATGACTTAGACCACATTCATAATTATGGGCACATATATACTAAAAATCCAGTTCTGCCGTATTAAAATCAAAACTAAAAATAAAACCTTTCCATTTCTTCCTTTACAAATTCGTTCTCAAATTATGTTCAGCCTCTCTCCTCCAGCAAATATGATCGACATCAGGAAGAACATAAGGGCCCCTCTTGAGCCCATCGATGTCCTCCTGTCCAGCATTTCCCGCTGCCCTCTCATAACAATCCGTGGATCCGTAATTATTATCGTGTCTGTTTCTATTCAAAGATCCCGAATTGTCTGCCATTAAATTATCATCGGATTGCTTCCGAACAAAATCGATATCGGTGATATGATCGTGATGACTCTGAGATTTGGTGTAACCGCCCACGGTTAGAAATTCGCCCAGGTCCGCGCCGAAGTTGTCATACGAGAGGACCGGTACTGGATATCTGGGGAAGAAAAAGATGTAATACTAATTTTAGGTAAAATTAATCGATATTTGTTTATAATATATGTGCATGCATTAATTTAAATTCTAAAAATCACTCCACCGATTCTGCCGCACAATAGACCATGTTACGCTCCAACTTCCATACTAGGGTTTGTCGGTTTTCAACAACCGGTTTTAAAAACCGGTTTTTTGGCGAAAATTATGGAATTCAAACCGGTTTTTTAGTGAAAAAAGTCGGTTTTCACTGCATAAATGGAAAATGACAATTATAGCCAAATATAAAAGATAGATGAAAGCGTTTTGATTCTTGAAATCATATCGTATCAATAGCATTTTATATCTTATCAGCCTGCGATGGTTCCCAGAAAGGTTTTGTATATATTAATTTAGATTTTTATACCAGTGTATATATTAATTTAAATCAGTGTGACTTCTTCTTGAAGAAGTAACTTGCTCTACTCAAACTTAAAAAAGAGTTTATACCTAAAAGCCACAAATTAAAGAACAAAAAACTTATTTATCAGGATCAGAATTATTATATCAGGCTTTAAAAACAATTTTTCTCAATTATATCTCATTAAGCATAATTTGGTCGCAAATATGAGAATATTTTCTATTTCAGAAAATTTTGTGAGTAAACAAAGGACACGTCTAAGTAACAATTCAATACACGTTCTCAATTTTTTCAAATCATATTTTATTAAACAGAAAACAATTAGAATGTTTAAAATTAATTAATCAAAATTGCTCGGAACAGACAATACTCGAGTTTAGCTTAATTGTTTTTAAAACTAAAATTGATATTAACAAGTATGTCTCAACATGTATCTAGTATTTATTTATTTCTTTTCAATTTAATGCATTTTTTTATTTAAAAATGTATTATTCTTATTTATTCGAAAACTTTCCTTGTACTATCAAAAATATTTTCATTCTTATATGTGAAAATGATGCATGAATAACGAATAATTATTTTCAAAGTTTTTTAATCTAGGTAAACTATTATTTTTGAGTTCTACTAATTAAAATTAAAATAATTTTGTTTACTATCTATAAAATTGAACAGTAAATATATTCCGTCAAATACTGCTCTAAATTACATTAAATTTGCGAATAAATTACAGAATATTCGAGTAAAAATTTATTTTCAATATAAAATTCGAAAACCGGTTAAAACCGTTTAGAAAAATTTAAATGCCAAAAACCGGTTTTCTGAAATGTCGGTTTTTGTATAAACCCTATTCCATACATTATGCTACTGAATCATACTGAATACTGCCAAGATGTCATGTATTTGCTGTACATTCAGGCGTCTTACACATAAACTGTAACGTCACTCGTATGTTATGAAGCTGAGTTAGAAAGACCCTGTTATCTAACATCGTTTTTTGTCATTTGTGCGGTTTCTAGGTTTAGGTTTACTATTTGACAACCCGAGAAATACGCCTGACTGCACAGCAACCGCATGCCTTTTGTCAATATTTAGTATGGAAAGTACTTCATAACATGGCTGTGCCATAACATTGGTCTGTTATGCGGCAGAATCGGTCCCTTAACTTGAAAGTTACAAGGCATGGCAAAGATTCAAAAAGTTGCATTCATAATTACAATCAAAAATATACATAAAATATTAAAAATGCGCTCTGACCAAGAAAACTTTTTTTACTACCTAAAGACCTGGTCAAAAATCAAAATGTACGTGAACGTGGCTTTGACCACAACACTTTACTAAAAGAATTTGGTATTCCTTCTCTTGCCTCACGTCGATTTATCTGTACAATTATGTTCTTATTTAAACTTTGCAATAATTCTATAGAGATAGACTGTACTCTTATTCTTAACTAACTATTCTTTAATGTTCCAAGGCTATTCTATGCGTTCACAATTATTTCTCAATTATCCTACTCCTAAATCTAATTCTATCTTAAATTCGCCTATTCTACTTATGTCCTCTAACTTTAAATTAATTAGTAATGAAATAGATATTCACAACACTTCACCTAATAATCTCCAAATAATCTCCATCTGCACAAGTTAACCTTTTTATTTTCTTTTCAAATATCTCATTATTTTATCTTATTCTGTAAATAAATAATATCGTTACATTCTGTATTATATGTAATTTTATGTTAAGCATTTTATGTTAATAACTATATATTGTAATTTTGTATATATTTTAATTGTTATTTATTATGTAAAATAATTGTATTTTTGAGTCCTCTTGGAGAGTCTGTGAGCTATATATTTAAAATAAATAAATAAATAAATAAATAAACAAATAAAATGTTGCATTTATAGTAATCAAGAGATATATATAGAATCATCAAGAAGATATATATAGAAAATATTTACAATACGATGGTGGGTCAAAAAGTTTGATCAAAAAAATAAAACATCGCTTTTTAAAGTATTTTTGAAGTCATGGTATAAAGTATCTCAAGTCGTACCTATCTTGCCCAAGTCGTATTAGTTGCCCAAGATTGAAAATGTTGAATTTATAATCAAATCCAGAACAATCATTAAGAATACTCTGCTGAATCGAAAATATTCCTACCTGACCAAGAAATGACCCTTTTTTATTTTTTTTGAAGTTATGAAGCAAAGTATCTCTTGTACCATTATAAGTCGTACTACTGTTACATTTTATCCAACTTTTATAAATTACATAATCTGATACTGCTAAATACAACTATTTAATAGATTAATATTAATAGCAAACGCTTTTAATTAGAAGACTACCATACTTTGTAAAAAATAAAATTTCAGCAGTTTTTATTAATGACCAAAAAAATTTAATAAACGCCAAACATTTTTTTCTGCATTATTTACGACTTATGAAACCTTACCTTACTCTTAATCGACTGGGAAAAAGTTACGTTGAATATCTGACCGGTATTCATATAAAAGCCAAATCCGAAAAACTGCCATGTTCGTCATTTAAAACAGTTAAACAGAAACGGAAAGTAGATTATTTATTTTATTTACCAGGAGAACAGTTGTAGCTCAACTTTGTTAGTTCAAAAATTTTTTATCTACCAAAAGAACAGTCACGAAAATATCAGCCAACTAACTTCATAGATAAATAAGCTGATAAGTCGAGCTCGCATACATTTTTTTTATCGGAAGTTTTAAAATATATTTAGCATATTTACATAAAAAGCATAAAAAATTTAGCATACAAAGTACATTCTCTTGTTCATACAACATAACAAATTTATTCTGATAAAATTGCACTAGTATTAAATTGACCAATGGAGTAAGCACATAAAATCATAAACAGTCCCTAATCAAAGAATATTTAAGGGGCACGACTAGTGTGAAATTTTGAAAAAATCGATGTTTTTTTTTTCATATTTCGGTAGATTACACCTTTAAAAATAACATATTAAAATTTAAATCGATATCTCAAATAGTTTTGAGTTACAGCCATTTAAAAAATATACATACAGTATATAGTACAACGATCATTTTATCTTTAAACGCGTTTTTCTCGAAACAGCATTTTCCGAATTTGCTGCGGCGATTACTCAAAAACGAATGATCCGATCACTATCAATTTTTTTTACATGTTCTGTATATAGTCCTCCGTAAAATGAACTATCGATTTTTTGATCGGATCAAAAATCGAAATTTGGCAGTCGAAAAACAACCAAAATTTTGGGTCAAATTAAAACGACGCCATTTTGTCAATTTTTTATTTATTTTTTTATCGTAGTTCGCTTTACAGACAATATTATCTAGTTTAACGAGATTTTTTTTTTTTTATTTCATCCACGTAAAAGGCCGGAATCACTGCAGCAGTTAAGGGCCTCTTTTTGTCGCGCCGTTGGAGATTGACGATAACTAAAAAAATATTTAATTTTTTTCTTCAAAAATTTTACTATGCATTCTTAAAGCATGCATAAATATATTTCTAAAATTTTGAAATGATTGATAAATTAGTTTTTTTAATATAAATTCCCAAAAATCACCTTTTTTTAGGCGGTTACACTAGTTGTGTCCCTTAAGGATTACAGAAGCATTCAAACTGATTTCAAATTAAAATTTCAAATGATTCAAATTGGTCACCACAGACATGCACACCATAAAAAATCGACTTATACAAATATTTACAATAAAAATGTCGCATTCCCATTCGATTATTACTATTCATTGACCAACTTACAGTGTTTTCTTGCACTTGTGGCATAATCTACAGATCTGTGGATAGCGTGTAATACATAGATTTGGTAAGAAAATGGACGTTTAACAAAACAATTGTTTGTTTTGTATTTACAAATAAATTTCGTTTGGATATAAAATACAATTATACTGACCTTTTACCTCCTGGAGGTCCTCCAGCTTCCTTCCTGCTGGCTTGCCTGCGAGCTGAATGAGTATAATCTCTCGTACCTGGGTAAAAAATAATTTAAATTAAATTGTATTCTATATTACGTAAACTTGTTTTATACTAGGGTTTATACAAAAACCGACATTTCAGAAAACCGGTTTTCGAATTTTAATTTCACTAAAAAAACGGTTTTAACCGGTTTTCGAATTTTATATAGAAAATAAATTTTTGCTCGAATATTCTGTAATTTATCTGCAAATTTAGTGTAATTTAGAGCAGAATTTGACTGTATTTATTTATTATTCAATTTTATAGATAGTAAACAAAATTATTTTAATTTTAATTAGTAGAACTAAAAAATAATAGTTTATCTTGATGAAGTAACTTTGAAAATAATTATTCGTTATTCATGCATCATTTTCACATATAAGAATGAAAATATTGCTATGATAGTGAAAGGAAAGTTTTCGAATAAATAAAAATAGTACATTTCTAAATAAAAAAATAAATTAGATACATGTTGATACATACTTGTTAATATCAATTTTAGTTTTAAAAACAATTAAGCTAATCTCGGGTATGGTCTGTTTCGAGAAATTAATTAATTTTAAACATTCTAATTGTTTTTTGTTTGATAAAATATGATTTTAAAAAACTGAGAACGTCTATCAAATTGCTACTTAGATGTGTCTTTTGTTTACTCACAAAATTTCCTGAAATAGAAAATACTCTCATACTAGCGACCAAATTATGCTTAATTATTTTTAAAGCCTGATATAATAATTCTAAGTTTTTTGTTCTTTAATTTGTGGCTTCTAGGGTTTAAAACTCTTTTTTTTAAGTTTGAGTAGTAGAAGTTACTTCTTCAAGAAGTCACACTGATTTAAATTAATATAAACACTGGTATAAAAATCTAAATTAATATATACAAAACATTTCTGGGAACCATTGCAGACTTATAAGATATAAAATGCTATTGATCCGATATGATTTCAAAAATCAAAACGCTTTCATCTATCTTTTATATTTGGCTATATTTGTCATTTTCCATTTATACAGTAAAAACCGACATTTTTCACTAAAAAACCGATTTTCGAATCCCATAATTTTACCAAAAAACCGGTTTTTAAAACCCTATTTTATACCTTTGCGCCTGAGTGTAAAATCTCTTTCGCCATCAGTTCCTGGAGCGCCTCCACGACCTGGTGCTCCGCCCCATAATTTCCACGAATGTCTGACCACTGGATCACCAGGACCCCATTCTAAAGATGGCCTGCAGGCGCTTCGGAATTTCTAAATAATAATTGAAATAGAAAAAATATATACTTTGTAATCCAGTATATAGCATTGTATATTGTGATGATTGATACCTCTAACAAATTATATCCGACTTGTCTTGCAACCTCGTGACCAGCTGCAATCAGCAATAGAATCATGCTAGAAGCAGCTGTGATCCACGATGTTGTCCTGTCCAGTTCAAAATCTGAATTTGTGATGGGCATTGAATAATACCAGGCAAATAGTCCTAAGAGTATCAGACAGGATATCGTGGCTGTCCAGTGCCATACTTTAGAAACTGGTCGACCTACTGAGAACTCTATATCGCTCCATAAACGTTTTGGACCTGGAAATACAAAAAAAATAAAATAATTTCTTCCTTCTCCAAATCATGCCAAAATTGGTAATTAAAGTACTTGTGCTGTTTTATTTATTTATTTATTTTATTTATTTAAATATATAGCCCACAGATTTCTTCCAAGAGGACTCACAAATACAATTATTTTACATAATGAATAACAATTAAAATATATTCAAAACTACAATATATAGTTATTAACATAAAATGCTTAACATAAAATTACATATAATATAGAATGTAACGATATTATTTATTTACAGAATAACATAAAATAATGAGATATTTGAAAATAAAATAAAAGGGTTAACTTGTGCAGATGAAAATGATTATGTGAAGTATTGTGAATATCTATTTCATTATTAATTAATTTAATTTAGAGGACATATAAGTAGATTAGGCGAATTTAAGGGAGAATTAGATTTAGGAGTAGGATATTTGAAAAATAATTGTGAGCGCGTAGATAGCCTTGGAACTTTAAAGGATAGTTGGTCAAGAATAAGAGGACAGTCTACAGTTTTATTGCAAAGTTAAGAACATAATTGTACAGATAAATCGACGTGAGGCAAGAGAAGGAATACCAAATTCTTTCAGTAAAGTGTTAAGAGATAAATTTTATATGCTTTATAATAAATTTATTATAAAACATATAAAATTAGAAGAAGAAGGTTCAGCGAAAATTACTGAAATATCTTAAGATATTTCAGTAATTTTCGCTGAACCTTCTTCATCGCATCAGAGTTGTTGATTTAAGAAGGATACCAAATGATCAAACCATATTCTAATTTTGAACGTACATTAGAATAGTACAAGCAAAGAAGTGTGCGCATTATTTGAATTGAATTGTTTACAATTTCTCAGTATGAAACCTAAAGATTTATGTGCTCTATTACAAATATCACTTATATGATCAGTGAAAAACAAACCAGAATCGAATAAAACTCCTAAATTTGGTATTTTATTACATCTATCAATGCTGGTGTTAGAGGTTTTATAATCAAAATGTATTGAAACGCGCTTATGTAAAAAACTAAGAATCTTGCACTTTGATATATTTAAATGTAATTTGTTATAGACACGCCAAGAGTGGAAAGAGTCAAGTTGAGATTGTAATAATAAGCAGTCATCAATAGAATTTATTTTGAGATATAGTTTGAGATTATCTCAAATAATAAATGTGGACAGCTAATAATTTCAAATATGTCATTAATCAAAATAATAAATAGTAGTGGACCAAGCATGGAACCCTGAGGAACACCTGAACTGATATTTTCAATATTGCTCAAGAATCCATTAAGATAGACAAACTGTTTACGATTATGAAGATAACTCTTGAAAAAATAAATAAGTGAAGAATTAAGACCAATCTTAGATAATTTAGTAAGAAGAATTAGATAGCCTTGGAACATTAAAGGATAGTTGATTGAGAATAAGAAGACAGTCTATAGTTTTATTGCAAAGTTTAAATGAGAACATAATTGTACAGATAAATCGACGTGAGGCAAGAGAAGGAATACCAAATTCTTTTAGTAAAGTGTTGTGGTCAAAGCCACGTTCAGGGTACATTTTATATGTTTTTTAATAAACATATTTCAATAATTTTTGCTTAATCTTCTCTATCGTATCAGAGTTGTTGGATACCAAATGATCAAACCATATTCTAATTTTGAACGTACATTAGAATAGTACATGCAAAGAAATGCATTATTTGAATTTGGATATTTTATATTACTTTGCTTACCATATACAAGCAAAAGTGCCAAAGATTCGACACACAATGCAACTGCTGCCAAAGTTGGCACCAACGATCTTTCGCCAACCAGTGAAGGCCAAGCACCAGGTGGTACTGCCACGCATAACCTTATAATCAAAGCTGCTCCAAGAACAATCCCCAAAAGTGAACTTGGGCGCCTTAGGGTGCAGGATAAGGAAAAAGAGAAGAGAGCCTGGAATAAAATAGAAATGGTTGATATCTCAATTCTGTATTATTCCTCATATCTTAAATGCAACTCAATATATTTTCTTACTAACCATTGTTACTAAACTCCCCAAACCGTACCATCCATGTGCAACTCCCAACAAAGCCTTTGCATACAGTGAAGGAGCATGCTGAGCTAAATTATAGGCTTCTGCAGGAGAACCCCAATTGGAACCTAAAGAACCGCCTCCAAATTCAGAGTCAGCCAGTACAAACGCACAAACCATTGATAGGGCTCCAGAGAGGCATAGACAGATTATAAATGTTACGGCGGTTCTACAAAAAAAAGATAAATAATTAAAAAGATAGAAAAGCATCTGAAATATTGAAAGAGGTGTTTGAAGATGAAGTTTACAATATGATTTCATTTGTCCTTTTCCTACTTACTTTACAGCATCCGCCTTATGTAAAGCTCTTCCGCAAAGTGCTGGAAGTACCCCAAAGCCAAGGGTAGTGGCGAAAAGTAATTGGTTAACAGCTGCCAACCACAGTGACACTTCCAGCAAGCTCCACCAATCAGTGACTAGTTCCGGCGCTTTCAAGTCGGCATCAGTAGGTACTGCCGTGTAACTTGAAGTTGTTGTTGGCATTGGAATAAATAAATTCGGATCAGACTCTGCAAAATAAATTAAATTATTATATGCACTTATTTATTTATGAGAAATTAAGGGCTTTAGGGATCGTTCAAGTATTACGTAAGCAGATTTATTGCAATTATTTACCCCCTCATCCCCCTTGTCAGTAGAAGTAAGCAAAGCTCTTACCCCCTACCCCCATTCTTACGTAAACATTTTGCAATTAATGTATTGTTTTTTTAAAATATTGTATTAATTAGGTTATAACTATAATTTTAAAAATAAGAAAATAGGTTTAAGATGTAGAGATTTTACATCATTACAATTTAAATTATTATAATACTAGCAAACCCGACAAACTCCGTTTCGCCACCAGATGGTTTCGTGAGAAAGATCAAGACATTTTTTATTTGTTTTATATTTGAAAAGGAAAAATGTGATTTTATTATACATGAGTAATGAATTTATTTCGATTACAAAAATGAAGTGTTTTTTAGTTGAACTTCTCTGTGTAAATGAAAGTGAATCCGCAAATTATCCGTTTCATTGAAGTGCTCTTTGGTAAACCACATTTTTTGTTTTTTGGTCTGACGTTAACACAAACAAAGCGGATGGTGTTCCAACTCGTGAACAGGTAACATATAACTGCCCATGTGAAAAACAATGATTTTCTAAATAATCTATTTGAAATTTATCCCGGAAACACTAAGCGATTGGCCTTGCGACTTGTTATTGCAAACGCAAGGCGAACTGGAAATTGCAATCGTTTGAAGTCAAACGGAAGACCAGTCGGAATCATTGGTATGTCACCAAATCGCCAGCAATTTTTTATTGAATGGTGAAATTCAGTGCATGTACATCCTTATTCTTTGCGGCAAGAATTGCTCGTTGACTTGACCAAGCATAATTCTGACAATTCTCACTAATTTCATTACTCAAATTTTTAATTAAATACGGTGCGTGAAGTTCCAGCAATTTGCATTAAGGCACGATGCCATGCACCATCAATTTTCTTAGCTATAAACCTTGCGGTTCGTGCGTTCTGGAGTTATATCGTCAGGAAGGAAAACCCCACTTATTTTTATATATATGTAATTTAAGGGCTTTATATAAAATTGTAGTTACCAGCTTTCTCTTGTTCAAAATTTGTCAAAGAGGCTCCAATTCCTAAAGTAGCTAGCATCAATGCTAACAATGGCAGTGAAGAAATTATCAGGAGCCGCCTTATTGCTGGTCCAGATCTCGATCTAAAAAAAATTTAGAATGAAAATTCTAAAATTTAGAAAAATTAGAATGGTATACATAAGAATATCAGTTCTCTCTGTTGGAATTTTGAGTAAAACCCTCTGTAGAGTATGAAAAGCATTAAAACAACGTAAAGCACATTAGTTCTGCATTTATTTATACCCCCAATGGTATGAACCCAGGAAACTATTTCAACAAGTTTATAAATTATTAATTTTACGTGCCAGTGCTTTGCCTTGAAATTGAAACTTGCAACTTTAGCTTATCCAATTAATCAAAGTATATTTTTAGAAACAATGCAAAGCAATATCGATCGATTAGATTTAATTTTTAAATACTTACACAAGCATAACAAATCCAAATGTTACCACCGAAATAGCCGCCAGGACACCATACCATAAAGGGTTGTCTATTGGACCAGCCAAGAACGTCCTTCTGAAACACAAAAAAAACTAGCTGTAAGTGGAATTCTGTCTTAAGGCAATTAGGGCATCATGCCTTGAGGCAAATTGCTGGAACTTCCCGTACCGCAATTCAAAATTCGAGTGATTAAAAATAATCAATGATTTGAAACTTTAAATAGAATTTCGAACCATATTAAATCATTCTATCTTAAATCATTAATTTTGAAATATTTTGGAAATTCTGAACTTTTTTCGAAGCAATCGTACGGCTTTAACTGCATAAAGACAAAATATCAAAGCGCGTAAGCGCCGCGTCGCCGTGAAACGCGTAAACATTGGCACGGAACCCATAGGAATGTAAACAAAATTTATACTTATTGTTAAAATCTCTATAAAATATCTGATAATTTGATGTACATATGTCTAATGTTCATTTTTGACCGCCAAATGGCTCATTTTTTTACTTTTTCCTCCATATCTCCAAATTCGTTGGAGCTGCCTTTCCAAAAATTTGAATAGTTCTTCATTTAGTCAATACAAATAAAATGTTTATTCCGAATTATTCAAATCGGACGCTCCGTTCTCTTAAAAACTGAGTTACCGTTTTCGGCACTTTTTGCCCCGTATCTTCGGAATGGCTAGACCTGCCTTCGCCAAAAACTAATCAGCACGTCTCCTTATCAATACGAATCGAATGTTCTTTGAATTATTCAAATCGGTTGATCGGTGTTCCCGAAATCGTCGACGAAAATTTGTATCCGCACATACATACACACACGTACATACACACACGTACATACACACACACATCCATTTTTTCTAAGGTATGCCAAAATGTTCAGAAACCTCTGAAACGTAAAGATATATAAAAATTTTCATTTTCGATTTTTTGCGATTACTATAACTTGCCCTATGGGAAGTTAATTACATTATAAAAAACTTACAAAGACAGCAAACGATTTATTGATTATCCTTTATACTTACTCTATGCATTCATCCGCAGTTAATCCTACTGCTTGATATCCAGACTAAAAGAGCAAAATCATATGTTATCATAAAAATAATAATGCTAATAACAAAATTCAATTATCTTTACATCGTGTCGCATCCTGAGCATTGTGCAGTGCCTGTATGGTGTGGGACCGGACAGAGAAAGCACGAATTGCAGCAGGGCCAAAGAGGCGTGCAGACACACGCAGGCGGCGCCGCTCCAACATGCCAGGGCTCGAATTATTACCACCCCTGAAAATAGAAACATATGTATGTATTCATCTTATATATAAAAATGAAGCTCTCGATAAAATGATCCGCTAAAACTCGAAAACGGCTAAACCGATTTGGCCAGTCTTAGTCTTGAAAAATTCGTGCCAATGCAGAGATGGTCGGAAAGGTGAGATGTGGTTTCAAAATCGCGTAGAAACTTTACATTTTTAAATTGAACATTTTTGTACAAGCGTAATTTGAATAAAACAATGGACGGTGGCTAATACGTCAAATGTCGAACGTTTTTGACAGATGATGTTCAATTATATTAATAGGATGTTTTACGTGAATATTATTCAATTATGATTAAATTGTAGTAAGTAGTTTTGTTTGTAGTTTTATTTATACACAAAAACGTTATTAAACGGACCGCAAGTATTATGAAAATGCAAGTAATATGAAAATGCATTTTTGGCGTTGTAGCACTCTTTTTTTGCAAATCATATTTTTCTCAAACATGGTGCTTTGAAAGATAACATTTGTATAATTATATACTCATTGGTATTTATAACATTTTCAAGGTTATATTATTTTTCATTTATATTATTTAAATTCAGAATTTGGTATCGATCAAAGGGACATTTTGTCGAATAACTTTTTCCCAGTTATAATTTCCCAGAATTTATCGAAGAATAGATAGTAATATATAAAGATCCGGGGTTAAAAAGGTCCATCACCGATGTGTCAAAAACCAGTAAAGTTAAGCATTGTTTAACAACAATATTTGAAAGTAGAGGGAAAAAGATGTATAACCAGCTATAACCTTGATACTTATGACTTTGCTATCGGGAGGTGAACGGTAATGTTTGAAAATACATAATAAAAGTATTTTTTCCGTCGGTAATTTTTTAGCATTAGTTAAAAATGTTATTATTTTGTAAAATCGTCTACGGGGTAAAAAGGTCTCGATAACAAATTTTTGAAAGACGACAAAAAGCACATTTCTACAATGATGAAGCAGCTGGCAGTTTTACTGAACGTAGTCAGATAATTGTTCATTTCAAATGTGTTATTTGTTGTGATATAATTGGTTTGATTTTCATAATATAGTTTATATTTGCTCAAAGTCAAATTGGACCTTCGTGCCTCGCCCTGCTCTACATATATACTTTTTATTAAATTTACTTTAATTCATTGAATATTACTTGAAACTTTTCAAAAAGCAGGTCAAAGCAGATATATATAATTCATTTTCTATCTCTCCTCGCAGAAATTTGAAAACTTTGTATAAGCTCAGTAGTATTATTTGCAACTATACACAAAATCCAAAATCCAAAGAGAAACTGAAAAACTTGAAACGTAATCAATGAGTGTATTGATAAAATATAGACAAACTAACGGGGTTTATTGTTTTTATAATACCTCATTGTATATAGCATTCAAACAACGCTTCCTTATACACTTAAAGTAATAATATTTTTGATTCTCTAGAAATTGTTTAGAATATACCTCACTTAGCAAAACAACGTTTGCCCGGTCAGCTAGTTCGTCAATAAAAATTACAACTGGAATCATTAGTTCTATTCTTATGGTACTGATGTCTGTTGATTTGAGCAAAGGGACAAAATACAAAATGTAATAAAAAATATATAGTGAGCATTGAAGAAGAAGCTGAATGATGGTTCATGCCTAACAGACAAAAAATTGTCTTGGAAAAAAAATTACAGAGACTTTTTTCTCACCTTTCACCAATGGTACTGCCCGATGAGCTTTCCCAGCGGCAGCTTCTCCGCAAAATTGCCCCACAGTACATGCTACCACAGACAGTGGCAACCCTACAATGAACAAAAGGACGAAGTAGGCAACCGCAAAGGGCAGCCCTCTGGTGCGAACTTCTTTGGCCAGGCCCAGGCTGCTGGGAAGCGCCAGGGACACCGCTATGCAGCATAGAAGGGTCAGAAGTTGCTGGGTTAGGTTATAGCGCTGGAAGAATAAAATAATAATAATAATAATAATTTATTAGTAATAAATATCCTAAAGTCAGTTTCAAGTGGAAGACCAAAGTATTTTTCGAAGTCAAATTAAAACAGTTTTATTTTCAGGTATCTAGATTATTAATACATATATATAAAAATAAGTCGGGTTTTCATTCCTGAACGCACGAACCGATTTCGACAATCTTGCATTCGTTGGAAAGGCCAAGGTTTATAGCTAAAAAAATTAGTGGTGCATGGCATCGTGCCCTAATGCAAATTGCTGGAACTTCACGCACCGTAATTAAAAATTCGGGTAATGACATTAGTGAAAATTATCAGAATTATACTTGGTTAAGTCTACGAGCAATTCTTGCCGCAAAGAATAATGATGTACACGCACTAAACTTCACCGATCAATCAAAAATTGCTGGCGATTTGGTGACATACCAATGATTCTGACTGGTCTTCCGTTTGACTTCGAACGATTGCAATTTCCAGTTCGCCTTGCGTTCGCAATGACAAGTTTCAAGGCCAATCGCTTAGTGTTTGCGGGATAAATTTCAAATAGATTATTTATAAAACATGTTTTTCATATGGGCAGTTATACGTTGCCTGTTCACAAATTGGAAAACCATCCGCTTTGATTGTGTTAACGTCAGACCAAAAAACAAAAAATGTGGTTCACCAAAGTGCACTTCAATGAAACGGATCATTTGCGGATTCACTTTCATTTACTTAGAGAAGTTCAACTAAAAACACTTCATTTTTGTAATCGAAATAAATTCATTACTGTTGTATAATAAAATCAAATTTTTCCTTTTCAAATATAAAACAAACAAAAAATTTCTTCATCTTTCTCACAAAACCATATATATTAATATATATCCTATCAAATATTCGTGTTTAAAATGAAAGTTTCAATAATTTGATTTAACAACTAGTTTTGGTTTCATTTGATGCCAAATTGGTACATCATATGTAATTTGCCAATTACAATTACAAAATGATAAAAGAAAATCTGTCCATTTTAGTGTCAACTTAAAGCAAAGATTGCAAAAAAATCTATTGTCTATTAAACAATAGTTTTTGTCAAAGCGTGTTTTATTGTTGGAGAAGTCAATGATGTAATTAATTTCGTAATTAATTATCTGTATAACTTAATAAAGAGATTCGATATTAATTGATTCATCAGAGAACAATCTGATGTGAACAGTTATAAAGATTCTTAAAGTAATTTCAAATTTCCTGAAACTGTAAACATGTAAAAAGTTTCAGAGATTTCAGAGAAATTCATATTTTTTAAAGTTCTGCCTGAGTTTCCGAGGATTTAATAACATACTAAAACATTATAGGCCTATGGTAAGCGGTTGTTAATTAAAAAAATCAGAATTCAGAAATTAAGATGTTTCTAATGAGAATATATACCGAGCATATGTACGTTACGTGTTTCGTAGGTAGCTACTGATTGCAGTTGACATTCACACTTAAGTAAAATACGTTTTTAGAATATAAAATAGATAAATAAATTGTGATAATACAAATATCTATATATATTATTATTTTACATTCCGATCCGGTCCTTGTCCATCATTGTTATTCTCAATCAACGGCCAGTGTTTCCCAAACGGCGGCACCCCCGCGCGAGCCCTCCACATGCCCTCGATCCGTGAGGACGCGCGAGATCTCTGCGCCCGATTGTCACATATCCGAATGTTGTACAATTGACAAGCTCTGTTGTAATCGTAAATTTTTAATTTGGAAATTCACTTTGGAAACTCACTTTAGAATTTTAACTTTGGCTATCACTGTAAATGATCCTGGAACTGTTTTTATTTTGGTCCATGATAGAAGATGGTGATTGAATCATTGTAAAAGACACTTGTGATAAGTTTTTGATAATTAATTAATTGAAAAATGTTATGTGAAATGTTATTCGGCGGTGATCAGAGATGTAGACAACATGGGGAAATATATAGTTTAAAATAAATGCTCCTCAAGAACAAAAACCCAAGAAAGATTTGCATATATAAAGAACTTTTGGCAGATTTAGTTTGGAATTTAAATTAGACCAAATATTTTGGCAGATTTGATATAAAATTTAAACTAGTGGGGTACAATACTTCCCGTATTGTAATAAAATATTCGAGAAATTTTAAACGTTTTCAAATATATTATTACAAATACTGTAACTTTCATTATTTTTGCTATCTTGTTATATCTGAGTAAATCAAATGTAAATCATAAATAAATCAATTTATCTCCAGAACAATAACAATCGTCATTTCATTTCAAATTCAATTTAAAAAAAAAAATAGTTGCCCAATTTACACAAAATTGAAAAACTGCTCCCGTTTAGTCACAGCCTAAACGCATTTGCAAATAATTCAGTGCGACATTTTAACTTATACTGTACTTAGCTTGGCGGCATTTTCACATTTTTCAATAGTTTTCACGAAATTGGAAAAGTTCTCAAGTCTAAACGCACTTGGGTAAACATATGTACCAGAGTGGCGCTTAGACTGTGCTTAGCCTGGGTCATTTTTTGAATTTTTAATCCAAAATTACAAAAATATTTCATGGAAAATACAAAAATATGTAATCATTTTTTTATCCTCAAAAGCAGTTGTTTTGTCAATACAAGCAGAAAGTTTTTTAGATCATTCAAATCGGACGCTTAGTTCACTCAAAAACTGACATTTTTTTCACATTTAGCTCTGTATCTTCGAAATGGCGGGACCTATCTTTGCCAAAAACTAATCACCTCTTTTCCCAATCATTACAAATTTAATGTTTTTTAGATCATTCAAATCCGATATTTCGTTCTTTCAAAAACTCGATTTGTATTTTCTGCACTCTTTGCTCCGTATCTCCATAACGGCTGGACCTGCCTTTGCCAAAAACTAATCAGCACATGTCCCTATCAATAGGATTCGAATGTTTTTTAACGTGGACGAAAAAATGTGAACATACAAAACACACACACACATCAATTTTTTCTGAGGTAAGCCAAAATGTTCAGAAACCTTCAAAACGTCGAGAAATGCAAAAATTTTGGCACAGCAAATACATAACGTATTGACAATTTATGACTACCAACTAATACGAAGATAGACCCGTAACATAGCATTTCTATTTTATCAGAGAATTGGCTTCGCAATATTTTAGTTCTTTTGTCTTGCTCTTTTTAACAAAATGTTGTATTTTTTCTTTACAGTTTTCATAAAATTGTATTAATCATTATTATCACCAGAATTGAAAAAAAAATTAATATATGTACATATATACTAGCTGGCCCGGCAGCAAATGCAGCCAAAAAAATTTTTGTTAGAAAATTGTTAGTAAAAGTGGTTTAGACTACCAAAATGACTATTATGAAGTAAAGATTTGTAGTAGCAGGGCGAAAATTTAGAGTTGAATACATTTTTCAATTCCACATTGAAAAAATCAAACTAAAGAAGATTGACCCCACAACTTAAAAAAAGTAGTAGGGTTGGACAAGCCTTGATAAAAAATAAACTGTTTTTTAAGTAAACTTTAGGCTTTTTCATAAATTCAAAAAAAATCTGAACTAAAATTAAGTCAAAAATATTCATGAAATATTTTTCAATTACTAAACTTTTAAGACTTTTACGAAATAGGGTTTTGTGGTAGAAGTGTGAAAATTTAGGGCTGCATGCCTACTTAAGTTACAAATAATAATAGAAAAAATTGGCCCAAAAATGAAGAAAAAATAAGTGTTGTCCTATTTTCAGTCATTACTAATCGTGATTAAGAAATTTCATAAATATCGGTCAAGCCGTTTCGGAAGAGTATTGTTACAAATTGTTTTTAATTATTTATATTTATATTTAAATTTAATTTGTAATTTATATTTTTATTATATAAATTGGCAATTAATTAGTTTCGCTTGATATGCGAAACCAAAATTATTTAACACAATATTAAAAATTCAAAAAAAAAAAATATTATGAATGATGATTCCATTTTCAACACCAACATTTTTTTTATGTAGATCAAAAATTTTCCTTTATATCACTGATCATTAAACACGTTGTTCCGACACATTAATTAAATGAAATTAACATCACCAGCACATTAATTAATTAGCACATGGATGGTAATTAATAGAGAAAAATAAATCACACACCGATACTCTAAAGAGCGAACGAGCGAATTCGCGCCGTCGTCCAATTCACGGTCCGTGATATACTGAACTGAAACGTTTTAAATGAATAATATAATTTACTTGTTAGGTAATAGACAGAAAGCTGGGAGGATGACTTTTAAAGTTATGCTAAAAACTTTAAAAACTTTTAGTAAAGACTGAAAATAGGACAACATCTATTTTTCATACCCTTAAGTATTAAGGTTGGCTTTTAAAATTTTTTTCTTCGTTTTAAGACTAATTTTTTCTATTATTATTTGTAACTCAAATAGACATGCAGCCCTGAATTTTCACACTTCTATCACAAACCCCTATTTCGTAAAAGTCATTTCAGTAATTGAAAAATATTTCATGAATATTTTTGACTTAATTTTAATTCAGATTTTTTTTGAGTTTATGAAAAAGCCTAAAGTTTACTTAAAAAACAGTTTATTTTTATCAAGGGTTGTCCAACCATACACTACTTTTTTTAAGTTGTGGGGTCAATCTTGTTTAATGTTCAATGTGGAATTAAAAATGTATTTAACTCTAAATTTTCACCCTCCTACTACAAATATTCACTTCATAATAGTCATTTTAGTAGTCTAACCAATTTTACTAAAAAATTTCTAAAAAAAAGTTCTTGGCTGCATTTGTCGGGCCAGCTAGTATATATACATATATATTATTGATTTTTTTAAATTCTGGTGATAGTAATGATTAATACAATTTTATGAAAACTGTAAAGAAAAAATAGAACATTTTGTTAAAAAGTGCAAGACAAAAGAACTAAAATATTGCGAAGCCAATTCTCGGATAAAATAGAAATTTCATGATAAGTCTTTGAACTTCAAATTAAAGAC